GGGGCAGAGAACCCCATGGCTTGCCTGGTGTGGGGGTGGAAGGGAGAAGCCTCTTCTCCCAAATCATTCCCTTCTGGCTCCAACCAGAGCTGCAGAAGGGTTGAAGGCAGCTTGATGCGGGTGGTAGGGAGGTCTGTGTCACCGCTTTTCAAAGTGGTGAGTGGGTTGTTTTTCACTTGCACAACATCTCTGAGCACAACTCTTCCTTCACTTTCTCACTGCTGACCCTCTGTCACAGTAAAAGACCTGGGTTTTGGCCAAGGTGGGCCATTTGCTGCCCTTGCTGTTATATGCTCTTTCATGTAGCTCTTGCAGACACTACATTTTAGCCTTGAGCTTTTAGGCTCACTTGAGCTGTGACTTAACAGAACAATTTAGGCAGAGGTATTTCCTATATTAACCCCACTTTAACCAATTCCACTGTTCTCCTAGTGCCCTACAGACAGTATATTAACATCAGCATTTCAGACAGGCTTCCCCAGTGCTCCATCTGATACAGGAGTTGCTATATTTCCACCTCCAACACTGCTCAGTATTAAAAGCCTGCAGAACGCTGCATTTTCCTGTATATCCTATGTGGGCTTTTATGTGGGACAGAGGATTGAAGGCTATGGGAAATCCTGTGATGTGTTCCTTCCCCTGCCCCACATGCCACAGCCTTTCCTGGTGGCAGCTGTGGTGGATGGAGCCAGCTATGAGGAGAAAGGGGACAGGGGACCACAGCTGAGAGCAGGGAGCTACAAGGCTGCTGTTTACATGGTTTATTGGCCAGACAACCCCTGTAAACCTGAATTCCTGTTGTCTGAACAGGTCAGTGTCCATCAGCTAGGGATGATCCCATTTATGTACCCAGACACCTTCTGGTCTGTGGGTGAGGAGGGAGTTGATAGCTGTGTCAGATCACATATATGAGATCTGGGTGTCATAGAGGAACCGGCCTCCCAACCCAAGTACAACATTGCTGACCTTGTCTCTCATGTCACACAGCCTTCCCTCGCCATGTCCCATGGCCATGCAGCACAGGGGGCATGGCACACATCTGGCTCGTGTGCAGTGGTAACTTGGCTATTTAGGGTTGACCCACTGCAGGGCCATGGCACCTCCACGGCAAAACAATACATGACATTAAAAAAAAAAAAGTGTTTTTCTCTGCTCCATTCTTCTACATCATCTTAGAGCAAGTTGTGGCTCCTGTTAAATTCCTGGGACTATTCCCCGCACTCTGTGGCTTCAGTGCCCAGGGCCATCACGGACATTCACCAGGCAGGGAAAGTTTGCAGGGGCTGGGGGACTTGGAGTCAATCTGCAAACCTCCCTCTCTTTTTGCACTGTATTGCACAGCTCGTTTGAACCTGAATGACATTGCAAAGCAACCCCGCTTGAATATTCTCAACAACGCTGCCACAGCTCTCATCTTCATCACAGTCATCCTCAACATCTTCATCACAGCCTTTGGAGTACAGAAGACTGGCCTCTACCCTAACAGGAATTTTCGACCTTACTAAGTCATGGGGTACAGAGTCAGGTAAGAAAGGGGTGAGCTCCCACCACTGCCGGCCCCTGGGAGGGCTCTCAATTTCAGAAAATATCATTGTAAGGTGGAGAAGGCAAAGATGCACAAATTAACAAAGCCTGTCTAGAGGCATGTTGCTGTCCCACAAGAATCTGGGGCCACTGAAGAAATTCCCTCAGAGAAACAGGATTTCTCCTTTAAAGCAAGACCACCAAACATCTCAGTTGCTGGGATTTCTCAGCAGCAAGTGGTTTTTGGAAGACTGCAGACTTCATGCTAGATACAAATTGCAGTTGTGGATGGGAGCTAAACTTGGGAAAGAAAATGCCTTCTGGGAGGTATCCAGAGATGGCAGCACTTGGCAGAAGAAAAGGAACATGCTGGTTAGGCCAGGGTAAAAGAGCCCTTCTCAACAGCCAGTGTGGTTTGGCAGGGACTCTTTTAAGAATCCAGTGCTCATTTTCAACAGTCTTGTTAATAAGAGTCCAACCAAATACCTGGGTTCCCATGTCAGGTCAGTGAGGGAATGACACGTTCTTAGGTCAAGAAGTAAAGGTCACAGCTCTTGCTAACATGGCCTGCAACATGTAAACACAGTTTAAATGCAATATACTGGGGCAACAGCCAACAGGAAAGCTCAATAGACACCTGATATGATGAGGAGGGATGCAAAGGTCAAAAGCCTCTATAAAAACACTGCTTGCTTGGGATCCAGAAGGGTGTAAGCGCTGAAGAGCAGCAGTCCACACGTGTAGGGGTGGTCATGGTGTCGAGTGACCCAGTGTGCTGTGACTGCTCCTCTCTGGCTACACAGCACAGAGGAGCCTGCTCTGACCTTACTGGCATTTCTTATCTTCCCTGCAGGATCTGAGGAGTGCAGCTGGAAGGAAAAGCTCTCCTCCTCTACATCTTCACTGACATCAGCAGGAGCCCATCAACAAATCCAGAAAACTGGGTTAAACTTTCAAAACTCTGTGTGTGTCATGGTATACTGGCCCCCTCCTGTAATGCTTTTGCTGTTCTGAAGGGGTGGAAACATCACCTTTCCAAGCTAGAGCAAACTTTGCAAGGGAATAGCAGCAGGTACATGGTTTCAAAGCACAGTTCTGTAAATCTCATCTCTTACTGCTTCACATATTCAATATTGGCTTATTCAGTAGAGAAGACTGAATGATTTACTTTGTAGGCTAAATAAATGAGTCCAGCTTTTTTTTTTTGTCTCAAATATAAGTCTCTCTCCTTAAAGCAATTCTATCTAATAGTTTACATCCCAAGTGTTGGAATGGGTTTCTCATACTAAAAAAAGTTCTCATGGGAGGACAGAAAAGTGTGTGCACGTCAACATAGTTAAACCAGTTCAAATGTTTTCCTAGTTGTTTAAAATTAAATGCAACACAGTTAAGAAAACAATCAGGTACTTCCAGCATTGGAGTATTAACAATGAGAAAAAATACTTATTATGGTCTGATGTCATCATCAGGGACCTATCAGGAATGATGTCAGAATGGCCTGACAGTATTAGTAGAAAATGAAGAAACATTATACATAAGGAAACAGTCTGGGCTTATTGCCACAATGAGAAATGACAGTTACATAGTGTATTACTTCATTAAATAATCACCATTATAGTTTACGGTCTTATCAGTAATACAAATCTTTTAAAATATATTGATTTTATATTGACAATGCTGGAAATTCCCTTGTAGGAATTTTCCTTAAAAAAAAGATCCTTTGAATTAACAAGTTTCTAGATTTTTTTAAAGGAGTAAAAATTTTTGATTCTAAATTTAACTTTGTAGTCATGCTAAGAAATGGATATTTTAATAGCCTTGTGTAAACCTGTTGAAACAATTACATGCGCTTCTGATTATTAAATGATTTTTTTCATTGTACTGCAAAATCAGAGTTCAATATGGATTTTTAATTTTGCATATCCTTGCTACCACTGAGACAGAAATGCCATGAAAACGTCCTCATAGTGGTCTTCAGGAGCTAGTGGAAGTGTCCGACACTTAGAAATAGATACAGACAGATTTCATTTGTATTTTGTATTTGGCTTTACAGACCTAAATTTCACTGTAAGTCACAGGTGGTGCTTTTTTCTGGAGAGGGTGTGAATCATTTTGCTCAGAAGGTGGTGGGTAAGGCCACGGGCCAGCATCAGCTGGTACCTGCAACTGATTTTTTGGCAGCTGAAGGAAAGTTGCATAAAAAGAGGAGGGTGGAAAATACCAGTTATGTATTTACCAGAATTTAAAGTGGCAAAGCTGAGCACGGTCTTGGGTCTGTTTAGTGAAGCAGGCAAAGACTTGTCCTCCACTTTATCTGGGAGATGACAGGTCTGGAGTGACACTGAATTTGCTGCTGAACTCAGTTCTTGCTCTGTGCCAAGACTGACAGCAGACAGGGGTGGATGTTTCTGGGAAGACTGTTATCCTGCTCTCCTCTAGAAAAAGGCTTCACTGTAGGGGTAACCAAGCTTGTAGGCAAAGCAAAACCACAAGCTAAGGGCTCTCAGCCACTACTGGCCAGCTGGGTTCATGAAAAGGTAAAATGTTATGCATTCCGTGTGCAGATCCCAAACCCTAGGACTCGTTGCTTCATGGAGCAGCAGGCAAAGCAATTAGCATTGATGACTGAATGTAAAGAGAGGGAAAAAAAGAAAAGGTTCAGCTGGGAAAGAAGCAGTGAGGGGAATTTCCTTACCAGATCTTAACTTCATCATTGTTTCAGAGAGCTACTAGATCAGGTATGACAGTACATGAGGCCTGCCTGAGCAGAGAAGGCTTCCTGTCACTCATCCCAGACAAGCAAAAGACTGGCAGCACATCAGAATATTTTTCCCCCATCATCTTTAATAATAATAATTTCTCATTATAATGAAATCAGACTCATTAGCAACCTTGGCTGCCTTTTCCCCTCTCCATGTCTGACTCCCATTCCTGCCAAGCTTTTGATACTCAACACACAGCTGAAGCAAAAATGGGCCAAAATTGAATCTAAATAAGCAGCTGCTGTGAAAGAGTTGACCTCTCATTTGTGTAGACTGTGCCAAGCACCAAACCTGGGTCTAGGCTCTCACCTGCGGTCTTCTCCAGCAATTTTCCTCTGCTTGCAAGGAGGATCACTTTTTTTCCACATTCTCTATGATCACATCACAGCCGTGCTTTGGTGGGATGTGTATTTGTTCAGTGTTTCCACCTTGTTCCACATGACAAAACCAGGAAGACAGGAGAAATACTGTGTTGCCATCCCACTTTCTGCAGACCTAGAAGGACTGAAACAGGTCTCACTCCTGGCTAACCTTGCTTGCTGCATCTCCCACTCACTTCCTGCTGCAGAGCTCTTGCTGCCTTGGGCAGAGTGTGATCTGTCTCTCTGGTATTGCCTATGCTTTTGATTATATGAAGACAGAAGAGCAACACCTGGTTTCTAATCCCTGCTGCATGGTGATGTGGTTGCAAGTAACACACAGACAGAAGCGAGCTCTTGTAGGAAGACAATGTATTTATAAAACATGAGGGAGAATCTGTATAACTCCCAGCTCCAACAGAGAGGTGGCCCAGGAGTTGTCTTGAAGGCACAGAGCCACTTTAAGGCAGGTAATTCAAAGGTACAACTCAGATTCTCAACACAAGGCATCTGTATCTAAAAAACAATCAACTTCAGACATTTGTAGGCAATAAGAAGAGATGTTCATACTGGGCAAACATTAAGACAATGACAAAACAAATCACATTATAATTTTCACACAAAACATTTTGCTCAGAATAAAAGCCAGCCCTTCTTCGTTCCCTTTGCTGACATGCAAAACAAGCCCCAGCCCCACAGTTCACAGTCCTGAAGACAGTCACATTTCTAGGCAGAGCCTCCTTGCCCTGCACCACACACTTGGGGGCCCAGGCCCCACAGCCTGGTCACATCCTACCCCAGAGAAGGTCTCCCTTGAACCATAGCCCATCATCTCCCCAGCCAGAGAGCTTCTGGAGCAGGTTGCTCCTGTCTGATGCATGGAAAATCCCAAGCTACTGACTTCCTCCTGCCTTTGAGGCAGGACACAGCCAGGATGCACATCAAGGTCAGAAACTCAGCACAGCTTCCTAAAGAGATCCTAGCGAGAGAAATGTGATCAGTTGCTGGAGGGAGTCAGCTTCCTGGCCATGGTGAAGCCAGGTTCCCTCTTCCCTCTGGGAGCTGTGCTGGACCCAGAGATGATGCAAGACATGCAACACTAGTGATGGGGCAAACCCCTGTGGTTCTGGTCTGGCCACTACCCTGGCTGGCTGTGTCCTTTCACTACATGGCTGTAGGACTACCTGCTCCTGCTGGGCTTCCTGCTCTCCCTGCCTCCGTGACTGTCTGGGGAGAAAAACCGCAGGTTGTTTTGGAAGAGGGGCAACACCCCCAGAGCAAAGCCCAGCACTGCTCCTGCAAGGTTTGCTGCTGGTTGGCAAACTGAGGAGAGTGTAGCCCCCTCTCTCTCTACCTGCACTGGTCTTTGAGCATGTGGGCTGGAAGACAGCTTTTGTCCCCATGGGCTCTCCAAGCTCCTCCATGGAGACTGCCAGCTAGTGCCAATTAGTATTAATCACGTTTACTACAGCAATGCTTAAATACCAACTGAGAATTCCCACTGTGGTAGAAAGGAAAGAACATTTGAGATGGCAGCTTTGACAGTAGGGACACTGGCCATCAGGAAACGGGACTGAAAACCACTAACTCCTTACATCTCCACCAAGGAGCCCTCACGAGGTAGTTCTGCTTGACACTGGCCTGGGTTACAAGGTATGAAGGAAGGAGCACAGTCTCAGCTGAAAAATGGAGGCAAAATCTTCAAATTCTGCTGGCAGTGCTGCAATGAGCGCTGCTTTCCAGTCCACTCTTTGATGACTGTCCTCTCTGGTGGGGAAGAGGGGCTACTCATATCATCATTAAGGCAAGTGAGTTACCTTCTGGATGCACCTAATTCTTGTCAGCGCCTGGAGATGAAAGCCAGCTGCTGACTTTAGGTGCTGCAGACCACATCTAGAGCCAGATGTGAAAGCACATGGTACAAATAACCCTCCCTCCCTGTGCCTGACTTACAGGCTGCCACTGAATCCATCAGCTCTCCATCTGCAAACTGGGCATCATGCTGTTCTCAGCCTGATGGGGCCAGACAGCTGGTCCTGCTATTGCCTCACTGTGTCCCGGCATTCGCCCTTCCCGATAGCCTCTCCCCATTCCACAGGGATTGCGTGACAGAGCCAGCCTGGACAGGCTGTGGAGGCGCAGTCCTGGAGCCTGGAAAGCAGCTCACCTGCACACTCGTGGGGCTGTTCCTGTGTTTTGAGTGAAGCACAGGCTCTGACATGCACCGAGGGCATGACTGACACTGCACATTCCAGGCAGAAACAGAGCTTATTGCAACATTGCATCACAAGGCCCTGGCCTCCTAAACTCCTATTACACTTTCTTGGGAAAAAAAAAAAAAAGAAAAGAAAAGTTGACTGTTGTCAGCCTGTTTCCTCTCACCCCAGCTGTAGTAACTAATTTCTTAGTATCTACATGGGTAAAGTACTTTCCCTCAATAGGAAGACTGCTCTGGCTTGGGCAGATGGCTAAGGCTGCCTCTTCTGGGATACTCAGTGTCTCCATTCTGGCAAATGCTCTGTGGAGTCAGAGACACAGCTGTCTTTTGTCTACTTCTTACCATGGCTGCACACTGCACAGCAAAACTTTCTTCTATCTGGTTGCTTTCTTCTAACTCCATCAGTCACAAAACCCAGACTGATGCAAGCTGATGATTTGACAAGATTTCTATCTCACGTGCCAGAACTTGCATGTTCAGTTTTCTACAATAGTGGAACTTGATGGACTTGTCAAGCACCACAGAACCAGTAACAAATGAATGACTCCATCAGCAAAAAGTAAAAAAAAAAAATCAAGTACCATGTCAGCATTGCTTGTATTCTACATACCTCCATTACTCACTTCTCAACAACTCCCTACAGAGCTGGGCCCCAAGAGCAGCATTCTATGTCACATTCTCCCCTCAAGCTTGAGACCAGTAGCAGCCTTTTTAGGATGGTACGGGGACCACTGGAGCTCCAGTGTAAAGTCCTGAGTGTGCTGGGATTTCTGGGTGTATATAGTCTTCTAAAATGGTTACAGGGAAAAAAAAATCTTGCCTTGTATTAACAGGAGTTTTAGGGGATGAGAATTTCCTGTAGCATCAGGCCAGCTGTGGGCTCTTTCCACAGGTCTTGCATCAATGACAGCATGGGTCTGCCTATCCTTTTATTCCTCAACCCTCTTCCGTCCTCACTGTTCTTTACATCCAGTGCATGTGCCAAGACCTGAGGTCACCTCCTCTGTATCAGGCCAGAGCTCCCAGGGCTGTTTCAGAGATGAAGCACCAAGAGCTGTGCTGGTTCTTCAACCACGAAGCCTGCTCTCTACATAAGAGTCAAACTAGGACAAGACACAACTGTGAGGCCATAACTTATTAAATTAACTTTTAGATGCTGCATAAATGTACAGGATTTTGAGAGCAGAATACTCTGTCTCCTCTTCTGACAAAAATCACAATATTTCAACTACTAAAATATTGCCACTTCTTCCCTGCTAGGGTTTCCCTGATATTATTAGGACAAACACATGTCTGTCAGATAAGGCTGCAAAGTTCCTCCTGAGATGCCCTCCTAGCTTCTCTGTATAACCCCTCCACTATCCTCAGGAAGTGGATCAATAATTTAGGTGGAATTGTAACATCACCCTCACCAGCTCACCCAGCTACAGGCAAACATGGCTCTTGGAAGGGAAATGTATTTGCATCTCCATCTATGGCCCATAATTTGCTGAATATGAGCACAGTTTTTCATGACTAAAGTGAAAAGCACAGAGAAACGTCTAAGCACCAGCAGCCTAAAGTGCCTATTAGCTCCTCCATATCCAGATTTCCTTGGGTCAACACATGGGCATGTGGATGCAATACAGTCCAGAGAACTTTGGTCCCCTGTCCAAAATCATGGATACTGAAGAGATAGGGAAGGAGGGGAAATGGGGAGGGTTGTGGTTTTTTCTTTTTTTTTTTCTTTTTTCATTCAAGTATTGAAAGAGAAGCTGCATTGCTCTAAATAAACCATTCTGGGCTTAGCTGGGATTTGTGTTTGTTTGGTGCAAGACTCAACAGGAAATATGGCACCTCTCCCACTGTACCATCCACCAGACTGCACGGCAGGAAATGCGAGTCCTTCCCTTGTCGACATCTCCCCTGCACACCTTCCCAGCCAGACATGGATCCCACGTCTTGGACACAATGGCTCAGAAGAGAAGCTCCTGCTCCACCAGCCTGATCACCCCTTCCCTTGCTGTGCCATCCCATCAGAGGGCTCTGGAGGCAGAGGAAGAGTTTGTGTGCTCTGCTGTGTGCCTCAGTAAAGTGCACATCTAGATGAGATGGTGGACGGTGCCGCCGAACAGCTGTGGGGTTGAAGGCTACGGTGTCTTCAGCTGGCGTCGGTTCCACATGCCCCGCTTTGAGTGAAACCAGTGGAAAAAGTTTCTCAGGGAGAGACGCTCCACTTCCAGCCCAGCCTGTAAGATCCTGGCAGAAAGAAGGGTAGACTCAGAGAAAACTTGATCGCAAAGATACTGGGGGGGGCTCAGCCCCAGGAAAACTCTTTTAAGTTGTGCTGTTGACAAGAGACTACAAATCAATTGGATAGTCCAGAATAGCTCAGGGGTATCTCGTATCCATAAGCAGGCATTTAATGACACTTGGTGAGTGTTTATGCACCCTTGAGGGCAGGACTGGTCAGGAGTGCCTGCACATACCAGGCTAGGAGAAAAAGACAGCTGGTAGCACAGGATTGCTCAGGATGCCAGTCTTTTCTGTAGTCAGCTGTCAGAAAAGACAGGACAGGGTCCAAAGCCTAGAACTACAAACCCAGAGGCCTAGGATTTGTCCAGCAGAGATCCCTCACTACAAACTTCTCGGAAATTGTAACTGTACCTTGTGACCTTTAAATGTTTCTCCAACAGTTCGTCTTCTGGACAATTGATAAATATTATATGGGAAGTCTGAGGGACCCAGACTGTGTGCTGCACTGCTGGAAGAGGAGAAAGCCTTCACAATCATCAGCGCCTGATCTGTACGTCGCCAACCAGCAGTGTGGCACTAAGGCATCAGAAAATGGCTCTTCTCTTACTAGTGGCTGTAGGAGAGTGTTTTGTGTCTCCTAACCTACTAGGTTTGAGGTCAGGACAGGCTCAAAGACTCTCCCTCACTGATCAAGCTTATGGCAGCAGTCATCTCAGACTCCTTATATCCCCACTCCTGTGGTCACTGGTCTTCCAAGATCCAATGGGTCTCCCTTCCTGAGCACATGAACAATGAAAATGGATGCTTACCTGTCCAGGAGTTCCCAGTCCTCTCCTCCCCAGCGGTCTCGAAACTCTTTTGTGTTCATGCCTCCGATCTTGTCCAGGTCAGACTTGTATATGCCCAGGAGACCAAACCCATTCACCTCCCAGTAGCCTGAGGAGAGCACAAAAGAGGCACAGGTATGTTGGTGCTTGGAACCATTGATGACTCCAGCAGAGATGCCAGAGAGAGATTCAAACTACTTTTAGCATGATGTTGACACCAGAGAGTGAACTCAGCAGCAAGGCAGAGCCGACCATTCCAACCAGCTCTGGGAAGTGAGAAAGGCTTGAGGATAGACAGCATGGGCTGTCCTATCAACTTGTTAGCAGAGCCTCCAAAATCTTCTGGACTGTCCCAGCTTCATAGAGTTGCCTTGTGCCTGAATGGCTCCGGGTGGCGACCTCTGTCTAAAGAAAATCCCATGCTAAGATGATCTATGCCACTTTCCCCCCTCTGACTTGGGTTGGTTTCCCTCGCCCCTGCTCTACCAGGTCTCCTCTGGACAGGCTGTGCCCTCTAAGAAAAGAGAGAAATGGACAGAAGGGAGAAAAGTAAGGGTTTTCCAAGGTCCTTAAATCCATAAAGAGCCCCAGGAGATGACCAGGAGAAACGTCATACAAAGGGCTCTGCTAGCTTTTTGATCTCAAATTCCAGGTACCTGATGCTGTTAAACCACATTTAACACACCCTCACTTTGTGGACCTGGAAGCACCTCAAGCTTCAGACCTCAACAACATCAGAGGAACAAATCTAGAGGTGGCAGACACCCTGCTTCTTTCCCCATTCCCCAAGGTCTGAGCCAAAGAGGCTCCACTCCCTCTTACCTTCAGGCCACTGTGGGGACATCCCGCAGTGCAGCCTCATGACCATGGGTGCGAAGGCCATCTTGCCTTCCACACAGTGCTTCCTGATTGAATCAATGACTCCAGCTGGGAAGTGGATGTGGAGGTCACACAGGAAGATGATGCTGTGCGGGTCCTGGAATGAACCACACCGGTTGAGAAAAAAATAGATTGACTTTCAGTAAGTCTTTCTTGAGGAGCAGGAAGACAGAGATATGGGAGTCAATTAAAAAGCCATTTGTTGCTGCATCAGAAACTGAGGTCCTAGAGACTGGCAAAGCAGCCACTGAGTGGCTGTTCAACGATGAACGTGAAATACCACGACTGTGACCTGGTAGAGCCAGTACCACAAAGCTGCTACTGCTGATTTCCCTCCTGACTGACACTCCCAGCAGGGGGACTGAGAACCAAACAGAACACAGGCACATCAGAATACAGGGTGAGACTCTTACTCTGGAAGGACAGGAAATATATCTACATTTGATCTAGTCTGCCAAGCTATTCCCTTCCCTAAAAACAGCATGTACAGTACCAAAAGTAATGACAGCACCAGTATCCACCCCAAGGGTGCCCAGACTTACCGTCACAAGGTCTATTCCCGCCTGCAGCCCAGCAGAACGCTCGAAATTCCCTGTCAGCTTCAGGTACTGGTAGCTGGGGGACAGATGGGAAAGTCAAGTTCAGTTCCCATGTGCCAGCGGCACAGGAAGCACCACAGGCATGAGGCTGTGGAGCTGCCCTCACCTCGTGCACCCTCTCAAGGAGGAGGAAAGCCTTTGCTGGGTGAGTACACAAGCTTAGCACTGTTCCAGTTCCCATCATGCCCTCAGAGTCTTCCTCCTTGTGCAACAAGGGGAGAGAAATACCTAGCAAAAGTCTGCCTATTCTAGGACTAGACCTGTTACTGGTATGTAAAGGACATGACCAGCCAAGGCTGGTTCAGATCAGGGTAGGGTAAGCCAGACAGTTATTCGAGCAAGCGGAGTCCCCAGAGGCCTCCACGCTCCCTGTCCTATTTCTCACAGCTTTCTTGTCTGTCCTCCCTCTGCCCCATCACTGTGAGACTTGCTTTGTCTTCTCTCTTGCAAACTTGAAAATAGAGACAAATTCAACAAATTTGGCTGGAATACTACACTAGCTATTGCCTTACACTTCTATAACACTGTTCCACGCAGTACGTGGTGTGTATGCACACATGATAACAATATATTCATGTATATGTGCAAGGTCTGGGTGGGTGTTATCTTTGGTTTTCCAGCTGCAGTAGGCTGTGGCTGGTCAACACACAGAAACTGGCAGAGGTGCTGTGTTTGCAGTATATGTGTGTGAGTGGTTTTTTTGTGATCAAGCAGTACTCTCACCTGTGCAAGGTAGACCTTTTCAGAGCCTTCTCTACATCCATGTCATCACTGCTGTAGTCTGTGATGATGATGTTGAAGTTGGGATCCTTAGTGACTTGGAACAGCTCTTCCATGTCAGAGATGAACTGCAGCACCCAACGTGCCTGGTTTTTCACTGGTTGTATTGCAACAGGGAGACAATCTAAGCAAACTGATTTCAGTGATGGTGCTGTTTCTCAACAGGCAAGGCTTCTTGCCTCCTGTCAAACCCCAATAACCTTGCAGGGATGCTGAAACAGGCCCAGGCTGAAAACCTGGTCCAAAGAATCAAGGAATCAGTGCGGGTTCTTTCCCACCATGTGACAGGAGTTTTCTTTGAGCTTACAAGCCATGGAAGTTTGGGCCCTATCATATTTCTGAGGGGGTTTTACTTGGAGAGAACAGAAATTGGAAGTGACCCAAATGAGACTGTTGAGACTGGCCCAGGACTGCTCTCATGGGAACCGCCCACTGTGCCATCCCTTGGTGTCCTGGGGAGGCAAGTCCTCCTTACCTGGCACCACGAAGTGAACCATGGCACGGTGGTTCCAGGAAAAGCCCTGAGGCCAGCACAGCTCTGGCTCGTTCGCCACAGCCATCAGGTGCCGCCGGCGACCCCACACCAGGCTCCTCATCTTCCTCTCCTCCTCCTCATTGCCACCAACTCCCTGCCAACCCTGGGCAAAGACGTACTCGGAGAAGCGGACGAGCCGCCCTCCCTGCTCCAGCAGCTGCAGCTCCAGCAGGTAGCGGCTGCCCCGCATGCGGTCCTGGCGTTTCTCCACGTTCACGATACGCTGCAGCTGGAACCGCCTGCAGGAGATAGAGTTGGCATGGGCCTGTCCCCTCTACACCAGCCCCGCTCCCACCTCCAGCCTGTTCAGCTCTGCTAGGCTCCTTCCTCCTGGCTAGCACAAACCTTTCTGTCCCCAGCTTCCCCTTGCTTCGTGGCACTGCTTCCAAAGTCCCATGGGAAGGTTTAGCACCTGTTTCCTAAATCCACAAGCATGTGGGATTAGACCTGGGATTCTGGCCAAGAGAAAAATATTTGGCAGGGGAAATGAAATAAAGGTGACACAGAAAATAACAAATGTGTCTGAATGATTGTATGGCTGGTAGTAGTGAGTGTACTCAACACCACCTACAACGATCTTGGCACAAGGACTATGTTTGGGCTAGTGAAACTGGCTCATGACAGCTTATCAGCCAAGAACATGGAGGAGGACTGAGCAATCACACAGCAAAAACTGGAGCGAGCTTTAGGTATGGAATGGCCAAAACTGGATGAAATGCCAGATCATGCCCTTTCAGATCATAACAAGAGTTTCTGCTGTAAAGTTGATGCTTGCCAGGGAAAAGCTTGTGTGTAGTGATCAGTTACACCTCACTGTGTAACAGTGTGATGCGACCCTGAAAAAACAAATGTGATCTTAAGATGTAGCATCAGACAGCAGGGATTGGAAATTCATAACACCTATTCTATAAAATATCTAGGATACTGGTTACTTATGTCAAGGAAGATTAACTCAAACTGAAACCTGCACAGAAAAGGACTGGTTAAAAAATTATGGAAACAGAGGCCAACCTGACAGAAGAGTCGGGAGTTGGATTGTTTAGCTTATGGAGGCTCAGAGGAATCATGTCTGTTTGCCAGAAAGGCAATCAGGATGGTAAGTCTTGAGAAGAAGAAGAACCATATCAAGACCATGTAAAAAAAGAGTACCAGCAAAAGCTGGCACCAGTTATCAGCCAAAAGAGGTATATTTAAAGCCCAGTGTTTTACACAGATTCCTTGCCTGAAATCTTATTTCCCACATGTAGTTTATCCTCTGATTCTCACTAGTTACTCACATGACAGGCATTCCCTGTGCAGCAGGGTACATCAGCTCTGGGACTCTGTCCCTTGGTTCTCTCACTTCGCCTTACCCTTTACTCCTCTGGTTGAGCTTCTTCAGGAAGACACGTGTTACTTCCAGGGCCTCCCTTTCTCTTAGCAGCAAGTTTCCTGATGTGTTGCATTTCAGGTCAATCCAGTCTGTGCGCAGCATATGGAAGTCCAGGTTGCTCGCGCTGAACGTCTGCTCCCAGTTCACTGCCTGGTCGAACACTGGTACGTAATCAAAATCCTCCTCATCTTCCTCCTCTGGCTCCCCATCCGCCTCTTCCTCTTCGTCTTCTGCTGCCACAGGTGCAGACTTGCCCTTCACAGGAGATGGCACCTGTACCTCTCTTTCGTCCATGTCCCCACCATTGGCTGCCTTGTGCTCAGCAATGTACGACTCCACTTGGTTCAGCCACTGGGGCAGCCCAGGCTGGCTGGGGCTGGCAGTGCTCACAGAGCGTCTGCCAGCTTTGCCAGAGACTGGGCCTCCTTTCCTGGCTGGCATGGTGCCTGCTGGCTGCAGCCCGTCCTTGGCAGTGCTGAGATCTCCTCGAGGTCTCACCCCTTTGGGAATTGTGACCCCTGAGTCCCTTGGGTGGCCAAGAGACTGCTGTCTTTGAGACACAGTCCTAGAAGGAGGGTTTGCCCTTCTGACAGGCGCTCTCCCCTGGATGGCCCTAGCATGCTGCAGAGGGCTCCTGGAGTTGTCTTTGACACCAGCTTTTAAACGGGGTCTCTTCGTTACTGGGTTCCCCTCCAGGCCAACCTGGTCGAGGCTTTGGTTAGTAGAAGCCAGCACGGCTGATTTGACACCAGACCTCTTTGTCCTTCTCCTTTGTATCCCCTCTCCTATGTTACCGCCCATTACTGAGAGGAGCCGACGACGCTCACGGAAGGAATAGTCCTCGTGGATATTGTCCCTGCCCAACAAGCTGCCGGGAGCGTTGCCCAACAGCTCTGCCTTCACTGTGCCAGGGTGCTCGGGGGGACGGGTACTCTCCGTGTCCTGCTCCTCGTACTGCAGGTCATCCAGGTTCCCCTCCTGGGAGCCTGCAGGAGTAATTGAAGTTACATCTCTGGCATCCTCCCACTGCTTTCCCTGTCCTAACCCAGGCACTCATCCTGCTGGGGGCAGCTACTTGTCGCCTCACCTCAGTATTGCCCCTCCTGCTCAGAGGACAGGGATGCTTTCACACACGGGATCTGTGCTCCTGCTAGTACCAACCTCCTCAGTACCTCTTAGCCACCACTGCCAAAGGTTGTGGAGGTGTCTGGCTTTGCCTTTAGCTGTCTTGTCTGGCCTTAGACTTGCAAGGCAGGTGTGAGCACTGGCTGCCACGATACACAGCTTTGGTTCTGTTGCTCCTGCCCATGTTTTTGTTAGAATTACATCTCAGATAAGCTGTGGGCCTGAGAGGTAGTTGTCATGCTGTCTCCTACAGCCCACTGTTTGGTGACCTCCCAACCTGCCCTTGAGAGAAGTAAAAGCTGCAGCAAAAATCTCCTCCCAGACACAATAATCTGGCAGGGAAAGGCTGTGACTTCCTTGTTATGTAAAGTCAACAGCTTCTTTCAGCTGCTGCTGGAAGACCACACGAAAAAGTGACAAGTAAAAGGATCTTCTGGTTGTGACACTAGGGCCCCTACCTGGTTGCTCTGTCTTTTCTCCAGAGTCCAGGCTCTTCTCTGGCCGATCCATTTTCATGTACTTGTAGAATCCGAATCTGTAGAGGGAAGAGAAAAACAAGAGTTTGATGACAGTTACTTTGCCCTTTCCAAATAAATAATAGCCATTGCTTCAGAGGTGATGATCCATCACTCTGGTTACATCCACCCAGCACCTCTAGATCCTACTTTCCAAACATCATCACCATCTTTCAAATCTTTGGGCAAGCAGATCTTACTCTGCAGTGCCTAAGACATGCATTTTCCTTCCTTATCATCTCAGTCTCTCAAGAGATTTTCTCATAGGTGCAGGAGGAAACCCCAATATAAGTACCCTGAAACACTTCTTCAGCCTTCCTTAAACTCCTCCTTAAAGTTCACTTAAGTTGTAGTGCTCACAAATGCAAATTATCACACTGCAAAAACAGCTCAAGCAGCTGATTGCAGTGATCTCCCTTTCTCTCCTCTTACATCACTACTGCCTGTGTGCTGTCCTCATATGCCTGTGCTTCAAGCTTTTGGGAGGGATTTCCAGGGGTGTTTCCCTCCACATGTGCTTAATGCCAAGCAAAATGGGCCCTCTGTTCCCAAATCCAGTCGCAGTACAAATGAATTCCAAAGCAATAAACCTAGGTGTCACCTTCCAGCCCATGGTAGCCACCTATCCTTCATTATGAACCACAAGTCTCCTCCCAAACTCATGCCATGATCTGTTGTTCTAGACCTCAGAATAGTCCTGGAGGGTGGAATAAGATCCTGAACACAGGGAGGCCACCATCAGCTATCTCACTGGTAAAGTGATTCCTTATCCTGTAAAAAAGTCCTCCTGAATGGACAGGAGTCCTCACAAAAGGTGTCTGTCTGTTATGGGGGGAGCATGCAAGGGGCAGTTTTCTTGTGGGGCCACCATTGAGATCAAGGCCCCAGTGAAGATGAATGACATGTATTTCTTCCCCCAGAGAGATGCCTGGTGGTGAGCACAGTTTGGCTTTCACAGTGACAGCTTTTAGGAGGCTCCAGCCACTGTCAGGTAAAGTTTCCTGGGAATACGCTCCCTGATGTAGTGAAACAAACACACTCTGAGTCTGTTGCTGGGTTAATAGTGCAAGAAAAGCAGAGGCAGTTTCCCCTTGAGACCTAAACATATTTTCACTTAAGTTATCAAAAGAAACTATAAATGCTTTAATGTTTTGCAAGGCTTAGGGAATCTTTAAAAATTGAGAGTCCTAAAGAAGTGAGTATGAAATTCCACACCAATTCCAGCCTTCAAACCATCTCCTCCCTCCATTCTACTAAACCCACATTTGCAGCATCCTACCTTTCCAAATAATAAGGGTTTTCCTGATAGAAGCATTTGTTTTCTTTTTCCATGTGGCTCAGGCGGCTGTAGTCATTTGGGTAAACAAAGGATAAATGAACCTGAAAAGAAGAGAGAAAAACAAAGTAAAACTCATAAATGCCAGACATCAGTCACAAGGTAACCCAGACGTAGTTGCAGGGTAACCAGCCCTTTTTAAAGGGAGCAGGAGTTGCTCACTAAATCTTTGCCTCTCCAAGGCATGCAGTAGCAGGCTGTGAGAATGGAAAACAGAAGGAAGCAAGCTAGGATATGTGCCTGGGTGTGTCTTTTCCTCCCTTTCTCAGCATCTGTCTGTCCATCTCTGTAACTGTGAGCTTAATTCAAATAACAGAGTGAGAACTAGGTGGGAGAGAGGTGGCCATGCCCTCCTGAAGAGATGTCAGGGGCTTTAGTGGTACAGTTCACCCTACAGAGAATGAAACCCTCAGCCACTGTGAGGCTCTGTGTGAAGGCAAGCTCGGCTCTTTGGTTTGAGGCCTGAGGGGCTCTGTAAGACACACACACTTGTACCCTGGTGAGACACATGAGCAGTGCACAGCACTCATCTCCCTTTCCTTGATGTTGCCCTCTGGTACGTACTGGGACGCAGAGACCTGAACACATGATCACATCAGCCCAGGAGCTTCAGATCGGTAGAGAAGCCCCATGGTTAATGGGATCTCTCTCTCCTTCCTCCTTGTGTTCCCCTGGGCAAGCACCAGCTTAAGAAATAAAACTTACAAACTGGAGCCCCTGGTAGCGCTGCAGAGGAAATCCATTCACCAGGTAGCTGGGCTTGTAGGGGCAGTCGGGCAAGGCTCGGCGCACACGGGACTTGCTGAGCAGAGGCACTGGGAAGAGGAAACACATGGGCAAGTGCTGCAGGAGGAACCAGGCTGCAACTGATGCACCAGCTTAGCTACTTCTGGCCCTGGTTTTTATTTATCCGTGTGAAATGGTAACAGATACATAAAGCAAACCTTGCACAACTCATCTCTTTACATCCCTCTAAGGCACTGGCACAAAAATATTATGCCTGGGGATGTTGTGTGAGTTGGATGTCAAGAAAGAGGAGCTGGGTTTAGTCTGTGCTTTGTCTCCTACAGTGACTGATACTGTAGCAGCCCCTCTCTTCTGCACCAGGGATAAAAAAACATGGCCTCGACAACCGTGGTGTAGGAGGACAATGCTTCTCAGCTGTGTCACCACACATGCTGTGACAGGCTGTAGTTACCTCCTCAGCTGCTTTGCAAGTCTTACCTTCGTAAAGAGTGTCCCGGGGGTCAGGCTTCAACATGTCAGCCGGGTGTGCCTTGCTGCCTGCGCTGTCAGCAGGCCGGCTCCTGTGACTGGCCAATGTCTGCGGGATATGCCCGACCTCATCCATCTTTAAAAGCGTCTCGTCTAGAAACCAGAGAGAGAACAGAAGGGGGAGGAAGGGCTAATTTGTCCCTTGTCCCAAAAAGCACCTCTCTCCAACGTCAGCCCTTTCCAAATGGCTTTGCATTCATGGCACCAATGCTGTCTCCGGCACAGCAATGCCTAAATGGTGCTGATCAGGAGCATCACTGCAAAGACACTGCAGGAAGGAAAGACTCTGACCCAGAAAGCTGGAAATACAGAAGCTGTGGGGTAGGAACATGGCTATCATTGAAAGCAAACACACACAGGGATAAGTTATGGAGGAAAATGGCCTCCTGCCTTGGATGGACCAGCAGTGGTGTGCTGAAGAAGCCCCATGCTGGCAGGAATTACTGTATCATTAGTACTGCATTTCTTTTAAAAGGAGATAAAAAAGATGAATGGGAGGAAAAACCTGAAAAAAAACCTTTTCCACCTGTGCTGGAAAAGGATCAGGACCCTGGGGCAAGGCCTTCAGTGGCTGAGGAGGATGTTTCTCCAGAAAGGGAATAAAGACCCACAGTAAGCCAGGAGCAACGGGAAGCTCAAACTCAAGACTGAGTATTGGTTACATTTTTTCTTGGGTGCTACTGCCATGGGATATCTCACTTCATGTCTCCATAGATCGTACTCTAAAATGAGGGGAATTGAACAAATATCCATGAAGGAAAAAGCAACATGCTGCCAAGGGCACTGGTGTGCAGCTTTTGGGTACTGAACAACACATGAACCCAGAAGGAATGGGATGACGTGATACAGCCAAAGGCTAATATGGAAGAGGGAAAAACTATATGGGCAGAAGGTGACAGATAAAGGTGACACTGCAGCACTGTACCTAACAACAGAGGGATCTTCTGGGATGTCAGTCTTCTATTCTACACGGAATTAATAAGAAGAAAAGAGAAGAAGGAAAAAGGATGAAGATGGAAGACCTAATGGAAAACCTAGTCCTGGCCAAATGGCAGGTTTCAGGAAATACAGCAGCAGGCTGTAATCCAAGATACAGCAAACAGATGTCTCGACTACAGCAGGGAGTCTTCCACACACAGAAGTGCTGGCATGGAAAGAACCCAGAAATGCTGGAAGGCAACAGTAGTAGATATGGAAAGGGGGAATGCTGGTAGAGGAAAGTGATGCTGACAAAGCTAGGTAAGGGTAAACAGGACTAAGGAGTTCCTTAACTGATAAAGGCATCACTTGATGTGCTAAGAAGGGTTTACAAAACAGGAGGGACTGGACTGATGTGTTTGCTGCAATCCAGCAGCAACTTGAAGAGGCTTGAGGCTAGTACAGAAGAAAGCAGCATCTCCCAATATCACTAGTGTATCCTGCTGTGTTCAGGATCCAGAGTGAAATCCCCTGGAAGTGCTACAGTGGCCCCCTCCCTGGTCATGTCCAGCTGACAGCACTTCCCCACAGCTCCCATGCTGTGGGCCTCACATTCCCCCTGGCTCTCAGCAAGCAAACTCCATCCTGTGTTACTCTCACATCAGGAACATTTCTCACCCTTGCAGACTCTTCTTGCTACCTCTAGACTTCCCTGGAATAATGTTCTAATCTTACTTCCAATTCTACTATATATGAGTCGTACCCTTGTCCTGAAGTCTTTCTCCTGACCTGTCTCCACCTTTTTCTCCTAATGATCTGTATGCCTGGTATTTGCCTGGCTAGACTATGATTCATGGTGAAACACCACTGATAAGTTTTGGAAGAATGGGGAGGTGCTTGGGAAAACCTGTGATGAAGATACTTACTAGCAAAAAGGGAGAGGTATTGGGAGTCAATCACTCTGAACTTCGCCTCTGGGTCATTCAGTCTCCACTGGAACAGAGAAACACATTAAAATGAAGTGCTTACGGAGTTAACCAAGCCTGAAAAAAAGGAACAGGCACAAGATGTTTTTTTCACCAGATGGGTTCGCAGCTTTCCTCTTTCTCCCTGCTATGACTGAATTTACCTAGCAGCAAAAGACTGGGAATAAGCTGAGATCTCCCAGGACAAATCCGAAATGGGAAAGGACAAAAAGCTGCAATGGAGACCAGAGAGGGTAGAACTATCCCAAGCAAGCAGAGGAAAGGGTCCTGACATGTGGCCAGGACTATCCCTCATAGAAGTAATGTAAGGGTTCTGGAAGGGATTAGATACATCTCATGCAAGAGGAGCTGAGGCCTGGGAAAGGAGGGGAATAGTTACAAACATCATTCCCAAGCTCTATGGGGACATATATACAGTATCATCATTTCCACAGACTCACTGCTACTTCCACATGGTCTGTTCCTCTGTCATCCTGCTTGTGCAGCACCTCAAAATAGTACCTGCCTGCAGCTGACAACCTGTGAAGAACAACGTGTCTGTCACCAGGAGCATTAAGGAATATTTCTTAGCTTGTCAGCAGACAATGAGTGGGGAGCAACCACACCCATGAAACAACCTAATTCTCAGGGTGAACGGGGTTAGGGCTGCCAAGAAAATCCAGATGCTGACAGTGAGATAGGTAGCTTTCCCTGTGCATCTGGAGCACTACAGACCCTTCTCAGTTAATGCTGAATAACTCCCTTTCAGTCTCGCCTGCTGGGTTTTGGCCTCTGGGAAACCCAGCCAATTCCAAGGCAGGAAGCTTGGGATATAGTTCATATAGAGGAGTCTGGATCTGCTGGTGGCTGATTCCTCTGGGGAAGAAAAATTAAGTTTTGCATTCCTGCAGTAAATCAGCAAAGCTTTGGCAATACCCCAGAGTAATCCCTTTCTCTATATTGCTAAATTCTCCAGGACAAGCCTGGGTTCCTTTTCCTTGTCCTTGTGATTTCCTGGCCATGTGCAAAGGTGGCTGGGAGCAAGGGACTTTGCTCACTCACCTCACCATCTTTGACTGCTGGCTGTGAAATTTCCCAAACTCTCCTGGTGCAGTCCACTCCTTCCCTGTCTGTGAAGAGATGGAAGATGCTCTGGTTAACATGAGTTTCTTCTCTTCTTATTGCATTGAGAATGATGAAGAGGGAAAATTGAGCTCTCTCTTCCCTCCAATACCTCCTGATAAGTTGTCTGTGAGATCCATCTATGGACAGACTTATGTCCCTTAATGATGAACAGGGGGCTGCCAATATGTAATTGGCTTAAGGTATGACATGTCATACCCATCTGGCATCTGTGGTGGCGTTGTCTGTAGTTGGGCAGGAAGAGAAACTTGAGTGGTCCAAGGAAGTATGTAAGTCAAGTCAGGAAGGTCTCCATTCCCACAGACACACTAAAACCTGGATAGAAGCCTTGCAGCATGCACAGTACCTTGCCTACACTGGCCAGCAGCTGGAGACCAGAAGTCTTTTCATCTGGGCTCAGCCAGAACTCGGCATTGTCATCTGCAGCAATGGCAAACTGAAACTCCCCTGTTGAGAGATGGAGGGAGTGAGTAGGGCTTTGGGGTAAGGGCTCATGCACAGAACAGATCCTGCTCCTCTAAAAAGCTGTCTTTGCCCTTCTTCCTGGTGAGACCATAGCTTCCCTATTGATAATACCACCCTCACCCCTTTGAGTATCTCTGAATTTTCTAACTCTGCTGTGGCTGAAAACAAACTTTACAGGTGCATCTCATTCACTGTCCCTCCTGCATCGGCTTCATCTGATGTCTAACCTGGAAAGCTAAGAAGTCTATGCAAAGTCTTACTGAATTCCTATTTTGGTTCCAGAGCGATATTTTTGTGTGAGATGCTGTGTTTGGATGGAGGAACGTGCACGTGGAGCCACAAAGGGAGTCAGGGGTGCTTGAGCCTCACTGTTCTGGGGATGGCAGCTGAGGGCCAGGGGACCACGAGAGGCGGGTGAGCTCTGGGCAGACACATGCAGCTGGCTGATACAGATGTCAGCTGCTGTCAGATGGTATTCATGCACCCGGGTAGCAGCAGGGACATAAATGATGTCATGTACAATCCCGGGCATGCGAGGGAGGGAGGGAAAGCTCAGGGATTGTTCGTGCCCACACACACGCCATGGGGCTGTGCATTCACGACAGCATTGTTATTTATCTAGCACTTCCCATCTGTTTTCTCCTGTGCTTTTCCTTTCCACCCTACAAGGGAGGCAGATGTGTTCCCATCCATGCCAAGGCCACGGCTAGTCAGGCACGTCGCCCACGTGAGGGACCAGGTGTTGGGCTTGCCAGGGTGAGGCACGAGCGGTTAGGCACCAGGAGGGGAGTGAGGGAGGGGAGGGACAGGTGACAAGAGACGTGAGCGGTGGCACAGCAGCCTCAGAACCCTCACCATTGGTGAAAGGATGCAGGTAGCCAAATATCCGGAGGCCATAGTTGGTCCATTTTGGGGACACAGCCAACTTCTTCAGTGTAGTTCGTGTCTGAAGTGGAAGAAGAAAAAAAATTACCAAAATAATTTTAGATGTGACAGGAAGAAGGGGAGATATAAAAGCCCTGAGACAGGTGGGTAGAGGAAATTATGAAGTTTGCTCTGAGAGGAGGAAGGGCTAGTGTGTGATGGAGGCAGAGAGAAAGAGCAGGCCAGATGAGAACTGAACTGGAGCAGGTGCTGCTGTGGATGGGAGAGCTGCATGGGAGTGCCATTGAGATGGTGGGGACAGATGTGGCATTTGCTAGCCCCTTGGAAGGAGAGCACCAAATACAGGGCTCCTTCACCGTGTGTCCAAGGCCTGGTAGGCCAGCATAAGGAAAATGAGCCTCCCCTGTGCAGCAGATGAGCTGCCACCCTTGAAACCTTGTGAAAATCTCCTGCTCCCTCAGCAGGAGGACAGAGGAAGTGGTTGAGAGGGATGTGACGGATGCTTATGAGCAGCAGGACAGACAGATGATGGATAGAGATAGGGACAGGATGTGAAGGGAGCAGGGGTGACCCAGCTGGGAAGCAGAGCTGGGAAGTGTGGGGCAGCAGGTGTCATGGTCTTACTTACGTGAGGGAAGAGGGGGAAGTGCAGGTTTTTCCTGAGCTGCTCAATGGAGCCGCCGCACCAGTCCTCGAACACATGCAGATTAGCCTGGCCCTGGAACTAGGAGGCAGAAGCAGGGCACCATGAATTGTTGCATCCCTCCCCTGTGTGCCTCCCCTGTCTTTACAGCCTTGGCCATGGCCTCAGCACTGGAGCACTTGAGAGAGAGAAAGAAGATGCCACTGCTGCGATAGGCTGGTCTGAAGGAGACACAGGTCCATCCCCCTGTTTCTCATCTGCTGAGGGTTTGGGGTTGGAACACATGACTGAATAGCACCAGGAAACTGTGCTAATGCTTGGGATATCTCACTACATGGTTGGGGTTCACTCCATCAAGGAGGTGTTTAACCAGAGGTCAGTGCTCTGAGACCATACTGTGGAACACACTGCAGGGTGGCAATAGCCCCCCATGATGCAGCAGAGAAAGTGTAGGGTCCTACATTCTCCAAGAAGGTGTTTTGGACTCTCTCACCATCCCAGGGCTGTTTTCCTGACCTGAGGAAGAGGGACACACTGCAGGGGTGGGAGGGAGATGCCAGATCACCTTCTCAAAGCATGTCTTGAGAGGTAAAGCTCATGGAGGACAGTGGGGACAATGAGGCAGAGGCTCGGCAGGTGGGAGTGTAGATGTCTGTCACCACTATGCAGCCACTCTGGCCAGGAGACGCTGTCAGTGTCCAATGGAGACCTGGAGCACAGCTTTGCTGGGAAAAGCTTGCTGGCCACTGTGGGACTGCAGCAATACATTCCTCAATGGACAAACTTCCTTTTTGTCAGAGCCATTCGGAAGGGAATCACTGTCTGCCCCCCAGCAAAGTCCAAGCTCTCTGCCTTCAACCAGTGGAGCTGGATGCTGAAACCCTCCTCACAGGACTGGCACCCAACAGTGGAGAATAAATAGGCTGGAGATGGCAGAAGCTACCTTAGATGGCGAAATGCTGAAGAAAGGAATAGGTTGCCTTGGGACTGGGGAGGTTTTGCAGTGGATGTCTTGCCTATATAAGGGCTATGTGAGCAGGGCTGGGGGAATGGCCTGAACAGCACCCAAATGTCTACAGATGGCAGCAAATTCGTAGTTTTCACTGGGGAGTCTCCAGCAGGGCTGAAGCAGCACAGTGGAGGAGGGTCCAACTCCAGCACTCCTGGCAGAGGAACTGCTTCCTGGATTTATTTTTCCCAGGATGGTGTGTTGGAGGTGCATTTTGAATTACACTGAAGGAAGGCTGCAGAGCAAACTTGGCTCAGCACCAGTAATATTCCCTGTGAGCTGTGGACTTTAGTCCTGCACGTGAAAGCCATTTCTGTGTGCCAGGCAAAACACATCACAACCACTGCTTTTCTGGAGGGGTCTCTCATCAGCCCTCTCTCACTGCTGTCTGCACTGCCAGGGCTTGACAAATGTCTGCAAGCCCATGTCTACCCCCAGTACTATCTCCTCCTCTTCTGACATCCCTTAGACTGGATTCTGCCAGACAAGAGGAAAAGCAGCAAGACAAAGTGGATGTAATTCCCCAGTGATGCATAAAATCATAGCTTAGATGCACAGAGGGCTCAGGGTGATGGATGCAGCCAAGAGAAACCCGGGACTCTGCAGGAACTTGCGATACTAATAAATCACTGCAAGCGTGACAAACACTGAATTGGAGTGTAACTGCTGTGCAGTCCCATGCCCCTTGGCCAAATCCAGGTTCACACCCAAGAGTCTTACACTACTTTTCTCAGCCAAATCAAATAATGACAATTGCTGTTTCTTATGGAACATGGAGTGAAGTGAACAGGCTGCACTCCCACAGCGAGTCACTGCCAAAACCAGTCCTATGGCAGTCTGCTGCTACCTACAAGTGATGCTGGTTTTTCTTCTTAGAGAGTTGCTTGCACACTGCAGATAGCAAGCTCAGAGCTCTATGAAATGTAGCACAACACTCCCACACCGTGGAGAGGCTGGCACTGCAGTCTGCTCCTGCCAAAGACAGACCCAGGGAATGCTCCCAAAGCTCAAGACTGCAGTGGAACTGGGCTGGCTTTGGCATGGGGTAGCCCAAATGCAAACCCAGATATTTATGAGAGAAATCCCAAAAGATTGGCTAGACTTGCTTAAATGTTTGCAGAGGAAACTTGGACCAGTCCCACTGCAATGCAATATTTTACTGCAGAGTTTGGCAGTATTAGGGAGAGGGTAGCCTACTAAAAAATAAGGCAGACACCACTATACTAGGTGCACCATCAGTGCTGAAGGAGGTGTTCCCTGAAATTTGTAGCCTGACACTCCTGTCTCCAAAGCCTTTACGAAGTATCCTGAGAGGAGATTCTGGCAGGAGTTAACGAGATCACTTTGCCTTCCTGTGCTCAGAGCTACTAGAAATAATTAACTGGTAAATAATAAGTATATCTTGCATGCAGTTTCAGAGTCTTTTCTAAATCAACAGATTTTTCTCCTGAGTTACAGCAGCCTAGCTTACTTTCTGCTGCCTCCAAAAGGGAAAGGAACATTATTGACAGATAAGTGTTGGCTGCCCAAAGCGCTGCTCTGGGACTGAAAACTGAGCTAGGCTTTAATTTTAGGGCCCCAGAAGTCATCAGTATAGCAGCTGTTTCGAAACCCTATCACCTCTGTCCCTCCAACTCAATCCATGGCTGTCCATTGCAGGCAGCTGAGAAATTCCTCTGTTTGCTATATGTGTCTCCTCTGGAATATGCAGTAACAGTCTCCTGCTTGGGGCTTTTGCAGATTGCAGTTACAGATAAGCATCACCATCATTCCCAATTCATGCACACAGAAATGGATTTTCTAAAACATGGCTACTAAGTCTGACTTCTCAACTTAGAACTACCTGGCCCTTTTTTTCAAAGGAATGGAAATTTAGGACCTGGCAAGCAACAAGGTAAGTTCCCCTTAAAAACACCCGCTTTGCAAATTCTGGATAAACTGATTTGGCCAGAAGCAGTAATAGAAGCCAAGAGTATGTGTTTTCAATGGGAGCTGTTTTTACGTGACCTGTGCATTCCCATTTGGAGGGAAGCCCCTGCTCCTCAGCTTCCTCCCTGTCCCAACCCCACCTCCCAGTTGCTTATGTCCACCCTGGCTGAAATAGCAGCATTGCAAGAACCCAGCTCAGATCCAAAACGGGCACAGGTCTTGCACCAAGGGCACCGTCAGCACAGGGTGAGTGTGCCCAGGAGCTCATGCACAAGAGCTGTTCTGCCCAAGGAGGTCTGGGCAGGTCGACACCCTCCGGAGCACAACACCATGGGCACAGAGTGACCCAAAGGAAGGGAGAGCTGGACCCTAACAAGTGCAGGGAGGGGAGAGCTGGGACAGGCCCTTGCTTCACTGCTGATGCAGTGGCCTCCATGGCTTCGGGAACGTGGCTGGTCTCTGAGCACCAGTGCCGACCCTTCCTGCTGAGCACACTGGAATAACGCCTGCCTGCAGCCCTGGCTTGGTACTAAGAGATTTTAGTATTTCTGCTTCCTTCTAGTGAGAAATTTTAGATTATCAGCCCCTGCTAGAAAAACAGACCATAGAGGAGGATCAAGCACACGGAGAGCCCAGACCTCTCTTTCTAGCCCAAATCCTATCGTATCAAAACTGCCTGGGGGGGGTGGCACCACACACCCAAGGGCTCCCGGTGAGCAAGGAGCCCAAGGAAGAAAGGTCAGGGCAAGCAGCGAAGCTGGGAGGATTGCAGCAGCAGAGACATGACCTGTTGCCTTGTAACTGGAGCTGGATGGAGAAGTCTTTCCTAATTTAATTCTGGGTGGCTCTGGCATCACGGAGGCAAATCAGCTGCGTGGCTGCACGCAGCCCAAGGAATGAACAGCACCGGGGATGACAAACAGGGCACAGAGAGGGCCTGAGCCCAGGAAGAAAGGCAACATTGTGCTGCCAACTAGAAACTCCTGAGTTTATAAGACTCCTCTGTCTTCGCAGAGTGGCTGTGGCCCCTCCTCCTGCCTGGCCCAGCTCCCCTGACTGGGTGACATTCAGCCTCCAGCAGCTGGGCTTGGCTGCACGCTCCGCTGTGCTGGGCACTTGTGCGAATCCATCAAGATGAGTTAGCTACACAGGCCCCCTCCCTGTCTGGATGGGCACGAGTGGGCAAGGGAGGGACATCAGCAGGGACAGAGCAAGCAGCAATGGCTCTGTCTGGACACCCCTCACAGAGAGAACAAAGTCCTGAGGCTGTGCAGACATGACAGAGGAGAGGACATTTTAAATGCACCCCAATGCTTTCTCCTCTCAGAGCTGTACAGAAGCTTTTGCAGAGGCAAAACAGAATGATGAGGCTAACCAGGCTTTTCTGAAAATCCTCCCCCACATCTACAGCAGTGTCAGATGGTGACACTCATGGTCCCACAGTGCAGTTTTGCCCTGACAATAGCCAGGCACCTTTCTGAATTAATTAAACAAGACATCCGACATCTCTCCACGCTGAGGAGGCAGTGGGAGATGCTGGAAGCTGGAAGACTTTGCTGTGGTGACTGGAACCAACAGTAAGGGTAGGGATCATCATGTGCACAGGCACCTTGAGGAGCCCAGGTGTGAGGCTGAACCCTGCCTTCCCCCAGACACAGGGTAAAAATTCATTAGGGGTTTCCTACGCGCACACTTTCCCACTACGTTATCCAAGGCTGAAGACTTAAACTGCTTGTTTCATATCCTGAAACTGAGAGGGGAGAAATTGAAACCTGTCTTTTTTTGGACATGTTGGCTGCCAGCTCACCGTGTAACCCTGTTAATTATTTATGTTTGTCAGGAATATATCTCTCTATTCAAATAAAGCCCAGTTCCCTGACCTGTGTCAGGCAACCTGGTGCCCCTCACCCCAGGTATCAGGCTGCAATTAAGTTATTACAGATGCCATGGGGAGGGCACAATGGGATTACAGACCCTGGGTAATTAATTTGGGCAGAGTCACAGAAAAACTTAATCCCCAGGCCAGGAGAAATTTCAGCCAGTGGTTAAGAGGACAGCAAGCAGCTCTATACGGAGCTGTGTCCATGGATCCCTCTCCATCACCTGCAGCTGGTACTGGTGAACTGCTGGCCTCTGTAGTCAGGGTGACTCTGCTGACCCTCTGGGTACAGACACTTCCTGCAGCAAGGGCAGGAAACGTTGCCTTATAGAGTCAAAGACAAAACTGTCCAGGCCACAGCATGTACCTCACCAACTGCATCTCTAACCCAGTGAAGGCTCATTGCACACCACAGCCACCTGTTCTCAAGACTTCTAAGAAATCCCTAGGAAGGGGATCAGAGACATGGGGCAAAGCCTCAGAGGAGCTGGGGGATGCCATGCAGAGCCTGTATGGCCTGTTGCCATGGGAGAGTGGAGCAGTACATGCTCCTGTCACCCCTGTGCACAGCCACAGTGCTGGCCTTCGTGTCCCGCTGGCTCTCAGCCAGCAGCTGCTCACCTGTGAGGCAGCCCTGCCTGCACACTGCCCACACACTGCCTGCACGGCCCTGCAGCCAGAGGAAGCCCCCAGGCTCCAGCTGGGACTGGCACACAAGAGCCAAGGCAGCAGAACAGATCAGTAGTCTGGTCTGGTTCTGGGCACTGGAAGGTGACTGGTGCTGGCTGCTTCCAGGAAAGCTTTAGCTTGTGCTGCAGGGACATGAACTGCTCATTGCAATGCTGGAGGGACACACTATTCCTCCATCACCAGTGACAATCTCATCCTGAGCACAGGGCCAGCAGCCGGCTCACTCCACAGGGGAGCTGCAGAGGCCCTTTAATTTGTGCAGGTCTCTAATCACTTTGAGGAATTTAGTGAGCCAGTTCCATTAGCTAAATGCCCCCAGGCTGGTGGGCCTCTCATTAGAAGCAGGTTGCATTGCTCCCTTATCTGAAGAGGAATGATGAGATAAGGGAGCAGGGGAGGAAAGAATAAACGAGGCATGAAGGAAACAAAGGGGGTGTTTACCTCAGTCTGTAAGGGTCACCAGAGAAGGTCTCTGTTCATTGAAGTGTCACTGAAGTGAAGAAATCTCTATGTATGACACACAGGGGTTGGATTGCAAATGCCAGAGCAAGAGCGTGACACTTCTGCGTGCCACAATCATGTATTCTCTTGTTGAATGCTTGGCCCTACGCACCTCAGACCTGAATAAACTTCACTTTTCCGGAAGGCAGTGGGCTGCCTGCTCTCAGGGAATTGCGGGTGGGTGCTTGGTGCCTTGATGACTAGTGCAAAACCCAAATTATCTGGAATCTGGACACACCTGTCTTTCCAGATGATTACTCAGGTCTGTAAGTGTCATTAAGCAGGGAGGGGGTGATAGGGGACAGAGCTCCTGTAAAGTGAATTAATTTCCAGGCAGATGTCCCTGCCTTACATTCTTGCTGTACAAGTCTCTAGCTACACCTCCCTCATGCAAAACAACAGACAAAAGCACCCACCTCTGGCAACCATGGGACAGGGTTGTCCACAGCCACATAATTCGATTTATTCCTCCCAGCTCTTTGCAGCTCTTGCTTCTGAAATACAAGTAGAGGAAACCCAAAGTAACCCAATAAATGATACAGCACTGACATCTAAACAAGAGGGCTCAAGCCTGGTTACAAGAACATATGAGAAAATAAAACAAGTTCTCAAGCTCCCTTTCCAAAGGACAGGCCAGTTATCATGGCCATGGTGGGGTGAAAATGCTCTCTGGCTTGTTTGACAGCACATTTCAGGTGAGCTACTGAGGGAAAAGGACACCAATACTTTATAACAACTTGCTAGCACAGAGTTAAAACTTAGGTCACTTTCTGGTGGTTTTTTTTCCCATCCTTGTTTCAAAAAATGTCCAAGCAATAGTTCTTCCAACACTGCCTTTAGGCAAAAGTACCAAGATGTGCTTCACTACAGAGCAGCAAGCTCTCTCCTGACCTTTCATTTCTGCTTCTGTCTTGCTCATTGCTACCTTCCTGTGCCACAGATCCAGTCAGCTTCAGCCCACTGCTGTGGCTTAGTACATCTAAAATAACTTAACTGACTACACTGGAGTCATTGTACATTCATATTGCTGTGAGTCAGCTCAGATTCTGCCCCGTGGCGAGCTCTCTTTCCTGCATGAAGAGAGAGCTGTCTCTTGGGGCCAGCATCAGAAAGGAAGGTTTGCCCTTGTAAATGTTCAGAAGGCATCCCAAATCTCCTCACCTGGTGTCCTGGCTCCTGTGGATAGTAAAACTGAAGGTTTGGGTCCCCACCTGGGACATTGGTGTCTGACAGAACCTTAGCCAGCTCCCTCCAGTTTTCGTATCCTGTATAGAGAAAACAGAAAGAGGGGTCAGAAAACATCTAATAAAATAAACCACCACAGTTACCAGAATAAACTGGTTCTTTCCAAGGCTGAGAGACCTCTAACTCTGAAATTGCCTAGCAGAGACCAGGAGTTGTTTATGCTACTTGGAGTTGGCAGAATGATGCAGAGAGAGAAATTGCCTTTATCTTCCTCAAAAACTCTTCCCTCCTTCTTATTAATACTTATATTAAAGATTCATCATAGATCCAAAATACATGTCAGAGATTTCATTAATCACCACAGGACTGGGAACCTCTTTGTAGATTACTCACATAATCCCAGTGGTCAAACTAAAGAACATCAATTTTTATTAACTAGCAATGTCAAAGAAAAATAATACAATAACTAGATTACTAATTAATTTAACCATCAAAAGCATATTATTCGTATATATTATTATTTTATTTACACAGTAAAAGCTATCAATCCTCTCTTCTTGAAGGAAATTATGGCAAAGAATGCTGCAATGTCTAAAATATTAGCATCCCCTCCCCTCCCAGTCTGCTCAATCCAGAGGTTAGGATCAATCTCGATTTCCTTCTACAACTCTGGCAGCCTCCTGGGCTTAGAAAGGAAAAGATGAGCAGATGCAGCATAACACTGTAGCTCTCTGTGACCACTGCCCATGTCACTGATAAGACAGTGCTGGTGAGCAGAGCCTCCCAACAGTGCTTCAGTGGCTCACACCATGTGGTTTTCAGATTTGATAAACACTTTGGCACTTAGCAGCTAACCAGCCTGCCAGCACCTCAGTGCTGTGCCCACACCGCATGACAGCTTCATCATGAAGGGCAAGTGCCAAAACCTCCACAAGCCCTACCCATTCCCAGCTGGTGGCAAACCAACTCAATATCCATGTACCAAGGAGCAGAGCCAGGCTCTCTACCCACTTTCTTTAAAACTGGAAATCATCCCCAAAGCTCTAGGAGGTTGAGAGATGTTGGCTGTATGTAAAGGGAACCATCCCATCATTTTCAAGTCCAACAGATTTAGACAAATGGTCTGAGCCCTCTGCACTGTTCTTACAGCCAGAAGTAGCAGGAACATGCTCTGAGGATGAAGAACAGCCCACTTCTGGGGAAACATCTGCTGTTTCAGAGCCAGCATACCCATCTTCAGTCAACTCACTCATCTTCCCCTGGCCAGTTATTGCACCTACAAAGTGGGTTGAAAAACTCTGTCTTTCCTTACTCATGAATCTGGGTCCTGTGGAATTTGGCAGAGGTGAGGAGAAAAGTGAAGATGTTGAAGCTGTCTCCTATGATCTGGTGACCAAAGGGAACAGTTACTGAGAAGAAAGTGCAAGAAGTGTGGAAAACATGAAAGTAGTCACAGATTCAACTAAGAGACAAAACTTGAGGCAACTAGGGTGTTCTGCTTTCTTGAGGTGGGTGTTGGCTTGGATGCGTGAGTTTTGTTCAGGCCCCGTTAGATGCTGAACTGTCACAAATTTCTGATCTAGATCATCCCACCCTCAGATTTTGATTTGAAGCTGTGCATTTCAGTTTATGGCTAAAAATATCAACATCAGCATTTATCTTCTGCAGAAGATTTTTCAGTCAGACGCTGTGTGATTAATCTACTGATTAATGCAGCCAAGCACATCTTGTGCTTCAAGGACTGACTGCCATGGGAAAGAAGGAGAAATTCTGGTGTCTACATAATTTTATGTGTAACTGGTGAGTTTCCACGTTATTCAGAGCAATGAGACAGAAACCACTGTGTCCTGCAGTTGGACACATGGTCCCACTCAGAATGAGGCTGAAACAGACTTTGTAGTTTGTGTGAAATTCAGGACTTGCTACTTTGAGGGCTCATCATATTAGTGGGAGAGCACAGCAGGTTGTTTGTTTGTTTGTTTGTTTTTTCAGAAGAGAGACCCAGAATCATAGAATATCCTGAGTTGGATGGTACTCACAAGGATCACTGAAGTCTCACTGGCTAAATTAGGGAGGAACCAAGTAAACCAGGAAAAAAATAAAACAAGGGCAACAAAAGTCAATTCAGCCCTAGACATTCACTGAGAGATGACGTTGAGAGAGGCAGGTTTTTTTCTTTTGTGCAGAGGGGAGAGATTATTTGGCTTCATTGTTAAACTCAGCACTTCACTGCCCTGTGGAATAAGCTCTGGATGAAGCACTGGGAACCTGCTTTTCCTGGGAAGAGGATGTTGGCCACCACAGGCAGCCACTCGGACTGCTTCTGCCCATGGCTGGCACAGAGCCTGCCTTACAGCAAACACAGAAGCCTGGCTGCACAGCAGTGCCATGGCTGACATTTCTTTGACCCCTGGAGAAGAGAAGAAAGGGAGGCAATTCTCTGTGTTGCACAAATATTTACCTAATGCTTATATCAGCCAAACATGGAAGAGACAAAAGAACTACGAATTAATCTGGAGGCAGTGATTTCCTTGCTGGGTATAATTTGTGCTTTGGCAAGCTAATTCTCCAGCATGGTAGGAAATGATTTTCAGAAAATAATAGGATAAACCCTCCTCTCATAGAGAGTTCTTGGCACTCCAGTTCCTTTTAAAAAGATTGGCTTTTTCCTAGGGATCTCCACTGGACACGCTGGCTTTGGAGGACCTGGCTTTGGACGTGCTTTCCTCGCTAGGAGGAGAGAGCTACAGAAAAGAGACAGATCTCCTCCAGCTTCCTGCAGTCAGAACACCTCTGGAGAGCAACTGCTGATGAAGGTTTTCTCCCCAGTACAGGTCACAGGATTCAAGACATTGCCTTTCAGGTATGTATCCACTCCTGTGTGACAGCTGGAGAGTGAAGGCGTTGGCTACATCCACTGCTCTGTCTCAAGAGCATCTGAGCAAGGTTCAGCCACAGGTTCAGCTTGTCCTCAAGCTCTCCATGAGCACTGCTCAGCAGCTCAGCTGGCCCAAGCACTCCCTTGATGGCTATTTTTAAGTCAACAAGACTATGCCTGGAAAAAAGCAACAGTCTAGAACTAAAATGCCTCAGCAAACACCTCAGTGTTACTAAGAAGGAACGCCAGAACTATTACCTTTGATGGTTTTGCTCCAGCCCCTCTACAAAACCGGTTCTGGTTAGAATGGGAAAGGGCAGAAAACCCCATAAAGTAGGAAATCAAAGGCCTGGAAATAGCCTATCTCACAGCCAGGTGAAGATGTTGGCCCAGGCTTTGTTGCCATTAGTCTGTTAGACAGATGCACCAGCCAGCTCTTGGTCTTTCTCTCTTCTGAGGATTGCTTCCCAAGGCATTTCCCATCACCTCCCAAAGCACACCAGTTGTTTTCCAAGGCTATTTTTTCACCCCAAACACCTCCAAGGAAGGCAACACTGATGCAGGCACAGCTTGCCGAAAGTAGCAGCCAGCCGTGCTGCCACAGACTTCACCCTCCTTGGCATGAGGACCAGCCTCCCCACAGCCACAACGGATGGTTCAGAGCAGTGATTCACCCAAAATCCATCCCACAGGAAAGAAAGACACATGGCTTTCTGATGGGCCACCTTGCCCAGCTGAGCTGCCTGGTGGCTACACAAGCACCACAGCACAGTCCAGGGAGAGGGATGTCGCTGTAGCCAGAGCAGTATCCATGCTTCCAGCACTCTGCAGTTGCACCATGCATGGTGTGACATCAGACCTGCCCCTTCCCCATCCCTATCTGCGACAGCACAGCAGGCAACAGAGCGTGGTAGATAGGGAGAGTTGTACAATTTTGTGCAAGAAGATGTTCTCAGAGACACTGTAGAGGAACAGAAGGGCAGACAGGTTCATGGAAATGGCAAGGGTTTTGCCCAGAGTGCATCCACATTGTGTTTTTTATCCTCACTCCAACCTCCAGGACATTTTCCCTACATCTACAACCAGGCACTAGGCTGACATCCTTTCCGCAAGCAGATATGCACCTTTCTTTCTACTTCCGTGCTCTGGTGGTCCAAGGTTCAAGCCTCATAGGGATCAGCTAATGCCCAGAACCATGAAGGTTCTTCTTCAGGGAAAAGTCACCCTTTTTGTCCCTGTTCCCATCAGAAACAGCTGGCAGATGCCTAATGAGGACCCAAATGCCCACCAGGGTTGACCCTCAACTGCCCTTCTGGATTCAAGATGGGAAGCCCCCAGTACTTGAGCTTTCTTCTGGAAATAGAGGCAGGTGAACACAAAAGAAAGGCAAAGAAGTTGAAGTGGAGACTGAGACAGATGCTGCATCCTACAACAGAAACCCACACAAGAGGCAGCCGGTCTGGAGCCAGTTGCCCAGAGAGCCAGTGAACCAACCATTAAGAGACAGAAAAGCTGTAGCAAGAGAAAATAAGATGAAGATGATTCTTGACGCAGCCCTGGTCAGGGCCCAGGGCCATGTCTGCCTCTCCCTCAGCTATGCAATGCACTTGAAACCCAGCTCAAGAGAGAAAAAAAAAATTAAAAAAGCAGAAAGCCACAGCCAGAGATAACAGGCAGCAGTACCCGGGGAGCTATCAGGCCTCGGGGCAGGAGCATGACCAGAGCTGCTCTGTGTATTCAGAGATTAGATCCACCAAGCCACTGTCATGCCCCGGGCCCCAGACAGCACTCGATGTTTCAATTAGCCTGCAAAGGTAGCTGGCAATGGTGCAAGGGGGAAATCCCAGCCTCACTCAGGTGATCAGTTTCCCCTCTGAAGGATGAGATTTGATTACTCTGCTGTTGTTACTGTTGCTTACATAGCTGCAAATGCTATTAACACCCACATGGTATCCAGCCCTTTTGCAACCCTGCTAAATGATTTCACTCAGCAGCCTCAGGAAAGAGCAGGTCCACTGGTTTGGACAAAAAGCACTTCAATTCTTTTCCGAGATTCTGCTCCTCTTCTTTTTGTTGCCAGGACAGGGCAAGAAAAAGACTGGCAGGTACGAAGCAGGGTTATGTTCTTCATTATCCACAGACTCCTCACCGTGGCTTGATGTTTTAATCCTCTGTTGGATAGTCTTATTTCTCCTCTTATTCTGGTCGAATATTTTCAGCTTACTGTTATTCGACAAGACTTCAGCGTGATTTGAGGTCTTTCTCAGTATTAGTCCTGGGCTGAACAGGTATGCAGATGCAGTACCCAATATCCCCAGATATTACCACTATGTGCCTCACAAACATACTAGTCCAAAAAATGCTGGGGAAGGTTGCTTAAAACTGAACATGACACAGGAGCTGAACTCAGGGAGCTATTTGCAGTCTCACAAACATATGCATAAAGCCTCCTGCCCTGCAAACAAACCTCAGCTCCACCTCCTGCCTCAGTTACCCTCATTTAGATTATACCCCCCTCACAGAGGCAGTGCACTGGGAGCACCTTCACCCTGCCACATGATGCTATGCACCAAAAGCAGTGAGGCTGTAGTCCAGCAACCAAATACTTCTGGCCAGTGGAGACCATGGGGACAAGCTGCCATGCTGTGCTATGCACCCGAGGCAGCACAGATTTGTGGCTGCAGCCCAAAAGCAAACATCTCCTTGTCATCTGGCCCAGGCAATGCTGCATCATGCTCTGGGGAAGAGGATATTTAGAGAGTTTGACACACCTCTCATGCACCCTGACCAGAGCAAGCCCTACTGCAAGTGCCACACCACAGGGGAAGCAACACCCGCCTCCTGGTCTACCACACACACAAAGGCAGCCCCACAACACCAAGCGTAAAAAAGCATAAAGGTGTAGTGTAAACTGACCTTCTAGAAACAGAGATGTAAGGGAGGGATACAGTGAAAAGGGACAGCCAACAGTTTCTGGACATAAGGGTGAGTGAAGGTTAAGTCACGAATCACAGACGGGGTCAGAGAAACTACCAAAAAACCCTCATTCAAGGGTAGACCCCAGAGATTCTCTTTGGTTACTTATTTAAGTCAACAAAAGGCATAAGCAGAAAAGGGTGAACTCCTTGTCCTCAGGTCAAGATCAGAACAACACTCCTGGAATTAAAAGGATTCAAGAAGCTATGAAATCTGGTGTTACAGAGGGAGCCCTGCAAACCTTTCCATTTCTGGTTAATGCAGAACCCTGCAAATATGACTGCAGGGATAAAGCACAAGTTAGAGCCCGTGTGAGCAGAAATAAATTACTCCATTCTTCCTCCAGGTACAACTCCGAGTCACTGCTACATGAATGGCTTTGCAAACTGACAATAAGCTGCAGAACATTAAAAGTACGTGAAGTTTGATGGAGGAACAGGCAGAGCACTGCACTTGAGGACTGGAAAATGAGTAGACATAACTACCCAGGACACTAATGCAGTCTCACTGCCAGACTCACCCATCAAATAGTACCTTGCTGCTGTTGCCCTCTAGGTACAGGAAATCTATTTCATGCAGCAAGGGAGGAACTGACAAGCAGTGCTTGGGGCACTAACAGGTTTTGTGGAAAATATAACTCAAATCTTGCTCCTGCCACTAAAATTTTCCATTGCCCTAGTAAAATCATGAAATCAACTTATCCCGCAAAATTATCCAGCAAATATTACCTGCCTCCTGAAAGCCCAGCGAGGATACACATATGGAGATGCAGTGCTGGATTTGAGTAAGAAAGCCCATGATGTTCCTGCACTATCCTTCAAAATTATGGGGCTGAGCTCCTAAGTCAGCTCCAGAAATGCTCCTGTTTCAACTAGAGGAAAACAACTGCAAACTATTGCTTACCTGCACTTGCCATGCTGAAGGCAGAGGAGGTTCTGGAGTTCATGCCAGTGTGGAAGGGGGCATGACCTGCAGCCAATTGAGGTGCTGGCCACAGAGAGCCAGCTTTGGCTGTGCCCCTGTAATCCCCTGCCCAAAGTGACCACTGCCAACAAGAGCCCTGTGTCCTCACCTGCCCATCCTCACCTCTCCAACCATGCAACTTAATTCCTCCTCAGCTTCCTCTCTTTGACTCTGCAAAACCGCACGAAGGAGTCCTGAAGGATTAGATTGGGGAAGAGGAAAGAGCAGAGCACTCTGTTTTTCAGGGATAGGAGACAACATTGACTCAAATGAAGATTGAGCAGAAGAGCACCTACTGCTGCTTTCAGAAACATAAAATAAAAGACCATGATTTTGGCACTCCTAACTTCCCTGCAAAGCAGGAAGAAATGTTTTCTACTCTGCTACTCTTTTGCAGTATTCCCTGGGCCATCTTAACCACATAAAGCACATGCTGAAGCTTTTGAATCATAAAATATGTTTTCAGCATAGTGGCCATGATAGCTGTGAAGTTAAAACCCCTAACTGCTGGCAAGCTCAACTCTTTAATTTACAAAATGCGTGGCAATTGTCCTGCAATTATGGTGCACTTGTCCCTGAGACACTGTGCTGCACACAGGCTGATGCTGTATCTGCCTCTTTGGACAATACTGCCATCAAAAGCAGTCTCTCCATTTTTACAGTCTTCATACACAGCAATTGATTTCTCAAAACAGCTACAGTCAGTGTCAAAAAGGGCTGATTCCAGGCCCAGCAAGAGTAAAGGTATTTGAGTAGTTCTCACCATGGTTTCATACTTACCAAGCCAGGCTTCTGCCAGTCATTGTCTTTAAAACACGGGATTTGCATCAAAGCATTTACTCATGGGAGATCAAGATTTGGTTTGCTTGAACTTCAATACTCGCAGAGCTTGGAAAAACCAGCAGGTTGTCAGAGAAGCACAGAGTCAGGTGTTTTTGATACAAGGCTAAGTTTTGATTTTTATTCCTGCTTTTAAGATCAAAATAATCTGCTCCTTTGTGGACTCCAGTTTCATGCTTTTCTCTACCCTCACCCTGCCTTTTTTTTTTTTTTTTTTTTGGTGAACTGTGATATCTGGCATTATTTTTGTTTCAAAATACCTTTAATCCTGGAATGTTTGCATGGGTTTCTACTAATTCACTCCCAGTGACCACATCCTCAACTGCTGACTCACACCATGCAGTCTGCCTTATTTTATTTTTAATAAAAATAATAATAACAACTTAAAAAATTCCTACCTAAACCTCAAGGTGACTAGCATAAAAAGCAGATGTTCCATCTGGTTATGATCACTGCAAGTGGTATTCCTGGCACTCTCCCTTCATCTAGAGGCACTGGTGAAGCCAAGCCCTTAGAGACAGACACAAGAGGCAATAAAGGCCTGTTCCATTGAAGTAACAAGTTAATTAAAGCTAAAGTTTGCCTCAATTTATCTGTATGTCAGCGCAACAAATCATACACAGGGCACCTGGAAACACACCTGGCAGGCTTCCTGCCTACTTTAATTCATATGTGCTGCATCACCATTAACAGCAGTAAGGACTTCTTTTGCCAAGAGAAGCATGTTTCTAAATGCTCTCAACCATGGACTGATCTGTTGATGTCCATGGTATCCGAATAAATGCAATTAATAGGAAGCAACATACATAGGGAGCTTCCCTCCCCTGAGCACCGCGAGGTACCTACAAAAATATATAATGAAAGAAAATGGCAATTCTATGCTCAGCGGTCTTTGCCATCTGATTTTATTTCTGCAACGAGACTGTGCCCAAGAAAGCTCAACAAGGTCATCCATGAAGCTTTCAGGAAGCTTTGGCAAGTGCATTTTTGTCAACTGATCCAAACACTGCAGCACACAGACTGCTCAAAGAGCTTTCCAAGATTTATTTTTTTTACAGAGGAGCTGTCTTGGATGTGAAGCTGAACATCAACTGAGCAACAGACCTTCAAGTCAACCCTTGTTACTGCTTTACCAAACATAGCTAATGCATTATTTTTTTATCCTGGATGGGGATTTTCCTCTAAAGACTCAACAGCTTGCCACTTCCATGTAGATGCAGCATTCCCAAAATATCTGCTTGCAACTTGATTTTCAGTCAAGTTCAGTGGAACTTTATGCTGTAGACAATGTCCTTCACTGCTTCCATGAGAAAAACCCCGCATCTTATTTATTTCTCTAATTGTCATTTCTATTTGCCATTTTGCTCAAAGCTGTTGTAGCCATTTTCCTCCCCTGAATTCACCCACTCCTGCTGAAATGTGTTGCTTCCACAGTCTCTGTGAGCACTGCAACAAAATTATTACCCTATGCTATTGCTTTCAGCAGTGACTGGAGGCAGTCTAAGGACGTCACTAAAGCAAGAGAAAAATTAAGATAAAGAACAGGCTGGACAAACATCTGCCAGAAATGGTGCAGGTAGCATTGACCTCACCTCAAGGCAAGGAAGCAAGCTGAACCAACACTCTTGCAAGCCACTCCTTACGATTTGTTTAAGTTTGCCTATGTTCTTGAGCATAGCAGAATGGCTTGTTCTTCCCACAGCTCTGTATGAGACACTCTACTCTGACACCACCTAAAGACAGAGACATCTGTAAATGGGGGACAACACACCAGTTCTCCAATAGCTATGCTGAGGGGTAATCAGAAGAGGTCATATTGATGAATACAAAACCCAGAGAAATATAACAAGTCTTTAAAAATAACAAAGAGGAAGTCAGTGCAGTGGTTGAGGTACTGCTTTGATATCACTTTCTAGATATGTCAGATTAGAAACAATTTGATGATTGCATTTTGAGTCAGATAAAGTTCTTCTATTAATGTTAACGGGCTTTAGATGAGGCTCTAAAACTACTCCAAGAATGTCAGGAACTTGGATGCAATCCCTGTGTGCAAGTTTATTTCCGCAATTTGGATTCAAAATTCAAAACTACAACTTCTGGTTCAGACTTACATATCACATAGAATGGTTTGGGTTGGAAAGAACCTTCAAGATCATCTAGCTCCATCCCCTCTGCCATCAGCAGGGACATCTTCCAACTAGACTAGGTTGGTCAAAGCCTCATACAGCTGGGCCTTCAACACTTCCAGGGATGGAGCATCCACAAATTCTGTGGGCAACCCGTTCCAGTAACTCACCATCCCTGCAGGAAAGAATTTCTTCCTAATATCTAATCTAAACTCACACCCTTTCAGTTTCAAACCATTCCTCCTTGTCCTATCACTACACGCCCTCCCCAGCTTTCCTGTAGGCCTCCTTTAGGTACTGGAATACTGCTGCTATAAATATGATTGGATGGTGATTAAAATGGGAGCAAAAACCAACCGGAATATCATAGTATTCTTCAAGAATGTCTGAAATTTCCCAACAGATGCTGACCACACCAAATCTGTGCCCAAAGTTTCATTTGGCCTCTAACCCGAAATGCCCAGCCTTCAGCTGTCTTTGCAGAGGAACTCTGCACACACCTCTCACCTAACACCAGCATCGCTAATTAGCAAAGGTAAGATTTGTAACATTGATTTCCTCTGAATTCTCAACAAACGCTGACTGTTAGTCATGGCAGACAAACGTGTAAGATGGACTAATGTTTTAAGAAGTTACAGAAAACCCTATGCCTTTAAAACCTTATCAAGCCTCAGAGTACTAAGGGGCAAGAGCATGCTTGAGCTCCTCCCTGACACAGGCTCAAAACTCACACGGACAAAACAAGCTGCCAGTCCTCCCTTCAGGCATCCTGCCTCCAAGCAAATGCCTGCTGTGCAATGGGATGGGGTGCAAAGCACAGACACTTGCTTCTGAGACAGCTTTATTTACACAACATGGGTTGCTAGGGGGAAAAAATCAGGGTTGTGTAAACTCTCTTTATAGAACTCTTGCACAATGACATAATTCCAAAATATCAACTTCTGAAATACTGTTTTTCCTCTCTCTTGACTAAATCCCACGTCAATGGCTTGCTTTGGGTCTCTAACCAGCCTGTGCAACACAGTTAACAAAAATCACTAAGGAAGTGGGAACCACGAGGAGTTCACAGAAACTACCTTTTGACCCATGGAATCATAGAATATTCTGAGTTGGAAGGGACCCACAAGGATCATTGAATCCGACTCCTGGCCTTGCACAGGACAACCCCAAGAATCTCACCATGTCCCTGAGAGCCTTGTCCAAACACTTGAACTCTGCCAGGCTCGGTGCTGTGACCACTTCCCTGGGGAGCCTGTTCCAGTGCCTAAACACCCTCCAAGCTAACCCTCCACAGAGATCAAAAAAAGAGCCTGTACTTACAGTTACCCTAGTTTGCTAAACCACTCAAGCCTAAATTTCTTTGAGAAAATTTGGCATAACTTAACCAGTTTGCTGAATATTTTCCTCCTGCTAAACTGGGACAGATGCCACTCACACTTGGCTTTATTTTCTTAACGTTGTGTGTTTCAATTTGAAACTTTCTAAATAAGATTTAAGAGATGCCACAGAAGGAGAGGCAAGAAAAACAATTCAGTTTGCTCTGTAAATGTGCTCTTAAAACTTCATTGGTTTTGAGCATCCCAGGGCTCCTCTCAGCCCCTCCGCAAAACCAAAAATACTCAAACTCTTCCTCCAGGATCCTGCAAACCCACTAGAGCTGGAAGAAGGATGACGACGGAGGAGGGATGCCCCGGGTGGCAGAGCCGGCGTCCTCGGTAACCAAATTCGCGCTATTGACATGCAAATTCCGCAATGGGCCGTGACTCCCTGTGCCCATCTGGGGGATTTACAAACGTCCCAAAGACGTTTGTTCCCTGATCTAAACCTATAAAGCTCTTATATCCTCGAAAGCTTGCAGGAACCTCTGAAACTTATGGACACAATCACTGGAATTTATAAGTACCGAAAATTTTTATAAAGGTATTAACGGCAGGATGATTTCTTTAAATTACTGCAAACAACGTGTCTTAAAAAGTCTTCTCTCATAGTGCTTGCATGTGGAACATTATCCTTGAAC